TAACTGGTTATATAAACGATGCTTTAAAACCTCTGGTAATCAATGTTGATTGGAATCCTTAAATTAGGATTGTTTTCAGATCTGACAGAAGCAAGCATGATAGCAAAGATGCACAAACGCAAATCTAATGATCAAAAATGGTGACTCCTGTATCCTCCTGCCATATTCGGTGCCGATCAGATTGCCACGGGGCCCACTCTGGGGATAACAGTAGGCAATTTCAGAAACACCTGCTGGCTGAGCGGCAGCCTTTTGAAAGAAGTAACCCACTGGACTGTCAGTTTGGGGTTTTTTTGGTTTTTTTTTGTTGTTGTTTTTAAACCATCATTTTTTTAAAATATATTTTATTGATTTTTTACAGAGAGGAAGGGAGAGAGATAGAGAGCTAGAAATATCAATGAGAGAGAAACATCAACCAGCTACTTCTTGCACTGGGGATGTGCCCGAAACCAAGGTACATGCCCCCGACCGGAATCGAACCCGGGACCTTTCAGTTCGCAGACTGATGCTCTACCACTGAGCCAAACCGGTTTCGGCTGCCAGTTTGTTTTTCATTACAAAGAGATGTCTTTCCTCCACTCCGCATATGGATGATTTCTAAAGGCATCTATATCCATTTACTCTTGAGAAAATAAGGGAAATGATATTTTTAATTTTTAAAATGAACTAGAGGCCTGGTGCACTAAATGCATGCACTCGGGGAGGTCCCTCAGCTCAGCCTCACAGTTCTGGAGCCCTCAGGAGATGGCTTAGACCCACTCCTATCATGGAGGTGGGAGAGGCTCCCACCACTTGTGCTCGCCAGCCATGAGCCCAGCTTCTGGCTGAGTGGCACTCCTCCTGTGGGAGCACACTGACCACAAGTTGGCAGCTCCTGTGCTGAGTGTCTGCCTCCTGGTGGTCAGTGTACATTATAGCAACCGGTTTCACCAATTGGTCAATTTGCATATTAGCCTTTTATTATATAGGATTACACATATAGAGTATAACAATGTTAGCTGAAACTTTTACTGTTTAATTACCTTTCATATTTATCTCATAATTAATTTCCTTTATAAGTATTTATTAGGTGTCTGCTAGGATCAAGTCTTGCTGCTAGGTACTATGAGGGATGCAATTCCTGACTACTAAGGGGCTCCCCATTTTATGGGGCAACATATGGACACACATGATACATATGGGGCAGGGAAGTTCTGGGTATGGTTTGAGCAAAGAAGCACGTTTTCACTTTTCAGTTCTGTCCCTGCAGCCTGGTTGATGTGACTGTAGCCCACCAGGTTCAGCATGGCAATAGCAGGTGAGACAAAAACAGGTCATTCCAGAATCAGCTTGTGAAGAATTACTGAACTTTTTGCTTTATCAATTGATATTATTTAATGTTTATGAAGCAGAGCATTTTGGCTTAAATTCCATACTCACCTTTTATGAGTTTAACTTCCCTCCTCACAAATTTTCTCATTTATTATATAGGCACAATAACTTTTATCCTTCAAATATTATTTTGATATGTGAGGAATTACATGTGCATACTGTTTTCAAACTTCAGAATGCTCATGTAATATTCAGTTCCCCATTATTTCATACCCTTCCCTCCTTTATTTGATAGCAGTGGCAACTATAGCTCCATATTATCTTTCTCTTAAGCATCTTATTGTTTGCTGCTTAAGGTCACTTAATCTTAAGTGTATGATCATTTGCATTCTGAATTGCAACTCCTTCAATTAGTTTTCATAACTGTTGACTTTAATAGGAGGTGGATAGCACAGGCAAAGGGAATTGGATTTTGAACCTTTTATTATGATGAGATCCATTTGATGTGGTCCAAACGATTAGTGAAGAAAAGCTGCTGTCCTGATAACTTTCCAGTGTGAAGTAATGAGAATTGGATTTGCTTATTAGTTTACTGTACAGAAAAAAAAAAGGCCCCAATGATGATATTCAGCACATGTTTCTTGAGCTCTTCCTGTGTACAAGACATTGTGAGCATTTAAGGAAGTAACAGTGTAAATAGCCAGCACCTCCTCTATTGGAGCTAATGGCCAGGATCTCCTCTCCTCATTGCTAAAGAGAAACATGCATGAGACTTTACAGACCCAAGCTCATTATTTGTTTAACGAAAAATGCTTTTTCCCCCCTCACAACTGGTGAATTAGCTGTTATCATAACCTCAGTTTTTAAAATGAGGAAAATTGAGGAGCACTAACCAGTAAGGAAATAAGCTGATGCCTCACAGACCCATTGCCACATTCAAGACCCTCACCCTGCCTGCCATAGTCAGGTTTCTTCGTTTGTATTTTACTGATTGGCAGCATAGAGGATATAAGTGAATGTTGCAAATACTTATTTTTTTAAAAATCATGTGGAATTGAGAACTGAGTAAAGAAATATTTGTGAATTTGACATAACAACAAGACAGCTTATGTGAAACACTTTGTAAACTGTGAAGCCATATATATTTGTGTTTGTTTGTTTGTTTGTTTGAATGACTAGTGAGGACACAGCAAAGATTTAGAGTCCTATGGCTTTTGGTTTATATTATAATGCAACAGTTCACAGCCAATAAAGGGAGGTTGGTTGGTCAAGAGAACTGATAAAGTAGGCATTAAATAGTGTGGTTTGAGGACTAATCACTTTTTAAACGGTTACAAATTTCGTGAAGGTGTCCAATTCAGCGTAGGGTGTTTAGAAGTACACAACTAAATGGTACAGAGTTCTTTCTGAGGCTGTCATGCAGTCTAATTAATCAAAGCTGGCTCCCTGGGTCAGCCACTCTACTGACTGGCCTGCAATAAATGGCCTTCCTGCCTGCTACATTTCTCCACCCAAACATTGCACAAACCAAGGACAAGGAAACTCGAGGTGCCCTTCATGGCAATATTCCTAAAAAGTCAGCCTCCTGAAGTTGTTTAAAATCAAAGTGTCATCATGAACGTCTCAGTACTTTCATGAAGTCTGTAAAAATCGTGCAGCATGGAAACTAAAGCAAGAATCCAAAGGCATTTGAGTTTTCTACATTAATTATTTTGGAAAAGGAAAATCAGATAATCTGTAACTCCTAGTACTGCAATTCTAAAAATGAATGACTTCTTGATTTAATGACTCGCACAATGATATAGTGCACCTTCATGAAGTGCTAAGCAGCTCTAATTACACGTTTTATAAAAGATCTTAGTATCTAAATTTAATTACACGTTTTATAAAAGATCTTAGTATCTAAATTTAACTTATCGAGTGAATGATTTATTAAAAATTCACAGGGAGTCAATTTTTGGTGTATTAATGTCATTTTACAAATAAGGTCTGATTAAGATGGTTGCTTATCCACATACCCTTGTCCTTTTTATAAACAGTGTTTAAAGGTTTTAAAGCAATGGGAGAAATGTTAGTGATGTGCTTAGAGCTACTTATTCTCTGCTCATGAGATATAAAAAAGAGATGTTCCCAGTGGGAAACATGTTTGTAAATTTTAAAAATATGATATTCCAGCTAAAAATTTCTTTTCTTCATATTTTTAAACTCAAACTGATGTATACTTTTAATAACAGACAAATGCTGGACCTTAATAGTAATTAAAATATATAAAATATGCTTGGTGGCCATCAATGACCAAGTTGGCTTCTATAGAGTGGCACTTAATAATGGCAGTGTGGTCTTTTAACATTTTCAGAAATTCTGAAAAATTATTGTATATTTTATAATAAGGTTATTATATTTATTATACAGATCTAATTTGGCAAAAGTTGAGTATATTATATGAAATGTTAATGAAATTAAGAAAACAAGATGTTACCTTTTATAATTTACTAGAGGCCCAATGCACGAAAATTCGTGCAAGAATAGGCCTTTCTTCCCTCGGCTGCTGGCCCCAGCTTCCCGCAGGCACCCAGGACCCAGGCTGGCTTCCCTCCACCCTGGGTACGTCAGGAAGGGTGCCTGGAAGATGTCCAGTCTAATTAGCATATTACCCTTTTATTATTATAGATAATATTACTTAATGAATTTCCAAAACTGAATTTAAAATAAATGTATGTCCTAATGAAATATTATAAAAGTCAAGTATAGGTAATATAAATATATGTAAGTTTTAGATGGATTTAGGTCTATTCTGTTTTTAAAATTTAAACAAATTTGTTATCTGAGATCATATATTTGAGTATTTTATGCTTTAATCTTAGTATTTTAAATTTTTATTAGGAAATTCTCCTAAATTTATGTCACAAATTTAAAGAAAAATAAGAGAAGAGAAAATAGTTAAAATATAAGTACAGAATCCCAATATGTAGTTGTGAATTTAGACATAAAAAATTAGAAATATAAGTATTTTAATATTTGGATTTACTGAGTGGCATACATATGGTTGGGTAAAAAGTCAGAGAGTTTACCTGTTTTCTTTATAAAAACAATGTGTCAACATGTTTTCTATTATTTATAACATAGCACAAGTTATTACTGTAATGTTTTTAAATGTTGACAGATTTACACATTGCTTATTTTTTTTGTGAAATCACAACTGACACTAGTTATAAAAATGTAACTTAAAAATTTATAGTAGTGTGAAACACTAAGTCAGTGTGAAAATAATTCTGATACAAACTTAGAGGAAGGCTAAGAAAAAAAACAATAGATCAACAGATATTTATTGAGAACTTATGATTTATGAGGCATGCCAGTCACTAGGAGTATGAAATATGAGATAGGCCTTTTAAGGGCATTATTCTTTTATTGGCATGATCACCAGCCAAAGGGTAATTGTACATAATGCAGTCATAACGCAGAAGGGAAGTGTCTGTTCAGAAAAAGGAAGAAGAGAGTGCCCTGAGGAACAAGACATATTTCTTTCATGTAGTGATCTGTAGCCTCTGTAAAGTGTGTGTGGCCTAAGTGGTGCCATGATACAAATCAAAATCATTTTTAAAATATCTCTTATCAAATCTAACTACCGCATTTCAAATGTGGGTTATGTCTAATAACATTCACCTTTCTTTCTGATTTGTTTCCAGAATGCTCGGGCCCATTGGGAATTGAAGGTGGAATCATATCAAATCAGCAAATCACAGCTTCATCGACCCACCGAGCTCTTTTTGGACTCCAGAAGTGGTACCCCTACTATGCTCGCCTTAATAAGAAGGGGCTTATAAATGCCTGGACAGCAGCAGAAAATGACAGATGGTCATGGATTCAGGTAACAGATGGGATGGGATGAGATTCCTGCTAAAGAATGGCCAGAGTCACTTCAGAGAGAACGCCATGAGAGCCCAAAGTGGCTTTTCTTCATGGTCACAGAGGAAAAGACAGTTTACTTAATAGTCCAAATTGGCTATCCACTCTGAAACTGTGAAAAACATACATTCCATTGATGAGGGTTAAAAATTTTAAATCTTTGGGTTATGAATTTCACTATTTAAGGTACATGTAAAAGAAAGGGTTTTTACCATAATTGAAGGCATTTTAATATATACTTTCATTTATTATCATCAACAAGCTATTTTTCAAAACAGGAGAACACAATGCTTGACTGAATTAGAAAGCGATTTTCCAAAGATGGAATAGATGGTAGCAATTCCAGTTCCATATATTAAATTCAGTTAAATGCTTTTTGGCCACTTAGCTGAAGTGAGACAGTAAATTACATATTAGGAGGACACAAAAGGTGCTCAAACCTGTTTTCTGTGAAAAGATTATGCTCTGTTGGAGGCATTAATAATATCTAACAAGTCATTGATGAGTGCTAAATAGAAGGAAAATCCAGTACACAATGGAGTCAGAGAAATAGGTAATTAATTATCATGAAAAGCTTCTCGGGAAAGATAGATTTTGAGGCAGGCCTTAGAATAATGTCTTTCAATAGAGACTAGAAGCCAAGGGAATAGCATGATCAGAGAGGTCAGGTGAGAATCTGGACAACATCACAAAGAAAATCATGATTTGTGTATAGGCTGCTGGAGGAATGTGTTTACATTTAGAGTGTGAGTTTAGTGTGCCTTAGGGTTTTTACTTACTAAAAGCTTTAGCTTTATTTCTTTGGATTAGTAAGCTATTACAGAATTATGATTTATTTAGGTAGCTGATCTGTTTTATCTATTTACTACATATTTTGTGCCAAGGTAATTTTTAACATGGGACTCTTCGATGTGACATTATTAGGTGCAGTGTATAGGGGCTGCTTTACATGTAGTTGATAGGAAAGGAAATTAATTTATGGCCAAATAGCTTATTTTAAGAATAGGGCTATAATTTTCTTCAGATGATTTTTTTTGTTCAGGTTTCTTTTACATATCCTGTATATGTTTATTTTACATATCCTGTATATGTTTATTTCATCCATATGACTCTACATGGTTACCTGATATATATTTTTTTGTTTTATGAATTTATATTTGCAGAAATTACTTCTTTTAATATATATATATATTTTTTTTTCAGAAATTACTTCTTTTTTATATAATTGATTTTTTACAGAGAGGAAGAGAAAGGGATAAAGAGTTAGAAACTATGTTTCTCGATGAGAGAGAAACATCCATCAGTTGCCTCCTGCACACCCCCTACTGGGGATGTGCCTGTAACCAATGTACATGCCCTTGACTGGAATTGAACCTGGGACCCTTCAGTCCACAGGTTCAATGCTCTATCCACTTAGCCAAACTGGTCAGGGCCATAAATTGATTCACATTATTTTTCTAACCTATAGCCACATGTGCAATGAGAATTCCAGATAAAGGTAATGGCACATCCATATAGTTTCAATTCCAGACTAATGAATAGCCCATCATAGTTTAAAATAGGCCTTCCCCACTCCCCAAAAGTGCTTGCATTCTATTTGCTAAAAATTAATCCAGAGACCATTTTTATTTGACTATTATGAAATGCATTAGTGAATTTAGTTCATGATAAAACTTTAGAAATTAAGATTTAGAACAGAAATTGCAGGACAATTGAAAGATGGTATCACCAGTTTGCATCAAGGTTTCTGTTCAGCAGATTATGCTTGTGAACTTCAGTGACTGCCATGTTTTCAATAAACTATAAGTAACATGCTTTTCCAGTGGTTTCTCAGAGAAACACTGCATTAAAATTTCTGACATTCTGATGTCTGATATTTCATTTTAGTTTGTTCCAGTTTGTTGCTTACTTACCACTAATACATCATTATGCCTTTCAAAGTATAAATGAATGTTTTTTAAGCCCATGATAATAGGTAGATAGATATAACCTAATCAACTTACATAGAATATTTAAATATTTATTTTACTTTTTTAAAATATATTTTTTATTAATTTTTTTTACAGAGAGGAAGAAGGAGGGATAGAGAGTTAGAAACATCAATGAGAGAGAATCATCGATCAGCTGCCTCTTGCACACCCCCTACTAGGGATGTGCCCATAACCAAGGTACATGCCCTTGACTGAAATCGAACCTGGGACCTTTCAGTTTGTATGCCAACGCTCTATCCACTGAGCCAAACTGGTTCCGGCATATTTATTTTACTTTTAAGAGCAATTTATTATGATTACTATTATTATAATTATTTTGCTATTAGTGTGCAGATTATAATGAAGTCTTAGAGAATAATAGTAAAAATAAATAAAAAGGGTTTCATATTGAATGAAGATATCTTGCAAGTAATGGGAAGAAAATTGAAAGTTCACCATTGGTATTCATTAACTAGAGACCTAGTGCAGGAATTCATGCATGGGTGGAGTCCCTCTGCCTGACTGGGGGTTAGAGTCCATTGGGACTGGCCAGCTGTGGGGAGGATCACAGAAGGTGGCTGTGGGAGCGTACTGACCACCAGAGGGCAGCTCCTGCATTGAGCAGTTGCTCTTTGGTGGTCATCATAGTGGAACACTGCCCTTTGGTGCATATTATAGCTACCTGCTGTTCATCCAATCATCTGGTCCTAACAGTTGCTTAGGCTTTTATATATATAGATATTTGTGATTGTGTTCAGAGTATATATTATGTATTGTATTATTTAATAACTTACTGTCTAAGTTTTTTTTAAAAATATAAAAGGTTATCCCTTAAAAATCATATTTAAGGGGCTCTGGGAAGACAGATCATGTGCCAACTTTTCTGTGTCGAACATTATTAATTTTCTTGTCATTTAATTTTTAATCAGTCCTTCAAATGAAACATTCAAGCACTTTGCTTAAACTCACTTAAAAGGAGCATAGTATTCTCTTAGTTTTTCAGGTGAATGACTCACATGCACTAATTAGTATTCAAATCCATTTTATTCCTTGTCTTGATGAATAAAAATTAAAATTACCATTTTAATTTTAACACACTCAAAAAGCAATCATTGATGGCACCTTAATATTCATAGTTGGTTCTGGATGTAAAGGATTGGTCTAGTGAATAAAGTAAAACAGAAATATGGTATTATTTTCAAGTTTTTTTCTAATCTTTATTTCCCTAAATGATTTTTTCCAGTGAATAAATTGCCACCTTAAACACTAACTGGTTCATTAGAATATCAATTTCTCCTTCTGACTGACATGTTAGAAATAGCAACTTTGCACAATTATGGAAATACTAGAGGCCTGGTGTACGAAACTTGTGCACTTGGGGTGCGGAGGTAATCCCTCAGCCTGGATTGTGAGAGGGCACATGCCAAGCCGAGGGACCCCAACAGTGCACGATCAAGGCCAGGGAGGGATGATGGAGTTTTGGCAGCTGGGGAGGGACCACAGGAGGGCCCCAAGGTGTGTCCAGTCCATCTCACTCAGTCCCGATTGGCCGGAACCCAGCAGCAAGCCAACCTACCAGTTGGAGCGTCAACCCCCTGGTTGTCAGTGCACATCATAGTAAACAGTTGAATTGCCTTAGCATATCATTAGCATATTATTCTTTGATTAATTGAATGGCCAACCGGAGACTTAGCATTTTATTCTTTTTATTATATAGGATGTCTTGGGTTAGCTCATATAAAAATGCAAAAACTTATTTATACCTTGTGGGTAGTTGGCTACCTGACTTAGGTGAGTCAGGATGACTATTTGTTTATTTTGAAAGATAATTATTTCTGTTATTTTTCTTTTTTATAGCTACATGTATTAAAATACTATATGCTTAAAAATTTTCTGAAGTAATTGGGTTTTAATGTATTTCCAGTTTCATTTTTTCTTATTTCAACAAACATGTACTGAACAAATATCTCCACTGTGTTCTACTAGGCACTATAGAAAAGACAATACTTGCCTTCAAAATGCTCTCAAGGTATAGAAAAGCAGTCCTGGCTGGTGTGGCTCTGTTGAATAGGTGTCATCTGTGTATGGAAAGGTTGCCAGTTTGACTCCAAGCCAAGGCACATGCCTGGTTGCGGACTTGACCCTTAGTCGTGTGTGTGTGTGTGTGCAGGAAGCAGTGGTTAGATGTTTCCCTCTCACATGGATGTTTTTCTCTCTCTCTTTCACCTTCTCTCTGAAAAATCAATAAAAATACATTTTTTAAAAGATATAGAAAAGCAAACGAGGTAAATATAACCACAAACTTTTGTGACCTCATCTCTTACATCATCTGCTAGCCATTTTGTTTGCACAAATGGCCTACCTTTAGTAGAACTTTTGTTAAACTAAAAACTAGTTGAACATAATATATAGAATATGAAAGAAGAGAAATCCCCATTACACTATGTATATATGTATGTATGTATGTATTACATAGCTATCTCATTACCTGCGAATCAATTTGATGTGTGTACCTAGGCAAAGCCATAATTTTCCTTTGAAAGATAATTTACCAGTATTTTCAATACTAGTATTTTATCACTGCAAAAAATTGGTTTTGATCTTTCTCTTTTTTTTTTTTTTTAATTGATTTTGTACAGAGAGGAAGGGAGAGAGATACAGAGTTAGAAACATCGATGAGAGAGAGTCATCGACCAGCCGCCTCCTGCACACCCCCTACCGGGGATATGCCCGCAACCAAGGTACACGCCCTTGACCGGAATCGAACCCGGGACCCCTCAGTCCCCAAGCCTACGCTCTATCCATTGAGCTAAACCGGCCCCGGCTGATCTTTCTCTTTTAATAACTTATTACCCTTTTTAGAAAATGTGAATATGATCTTAATATGTCCCTTTTCCATACGCCAGAGTCCGTGGGGAAGAGATACTCGTTTCTCGAGCTTGAATGTGCACAGAAGTCACATGGCTCACTGGGTGAAAAGAGAAGCATGTAC